AGGCCGAATACATAGCAGCTGGAAGTTGTTGTGCTCAAATCTTATGGATGAGACATCAATTAAGAGACTATGGGATAAATGTCCAAGAAGTGAGCATTAAGTGCGATAATACAAGTGCTATAGCAATCACACACAATCCGGTTCTACACTCTCGGACCAAGCACATTGATATCAAGTATCATTTTATTCGTGATCATGTTGAGAAGAAAGATATTTCTCTCGAATATGTCAATACCGATGATCAACTGGCAGATATACTCACTAAACCTTTGAGTGAGCCAAGATTCTCTCTATTAAGGCATGAGATCGGAATGATTGAAATGACCTAAAATTCAGAGAATCAAATCTGTAAAGATTCGTATCCTTGATTCTCGCTAGATTTGATCCATCCTTACACGCAAGTATCCTTATAAATAAGGTATACTAATTGTTTGTGCATACATCACTAACAAAAGTTCTAGTGTTTGTTCTTGCAGGTATGAGTACAGGTAGTGAAAGAACCAACACTGAGAATCAAGGTGGAAAAAGTGGAAAAAGTGAGATCTTTAATGACAAACTCATCACCCAGGAGGAAGTGAACAAGTTCATGGAACGCTCTCAACATATTCAGAGTCTTCTTCGGGCTCCAACAGACAAAGAGTCAAAAGAGCTGTTTCTTTCTGCAGGCAATTCTATTGGATATGCCAAAGAAAACAGTGTGCTGGACAAAAAGCGACAGTTTCGACTATTCACCGTCCAGCACCCCTCCTAAGATGCCCTCACCACTCAAATCCACCGCCAGTAGCAAGAAAAGGAAGATCTAAATAACTTTGTCCTTTTCTTAATATGTGATGTTATTCCACCATGCTTATAATGAATCACCTTATCCTTTCGTGTCTCTTTGTTTTCGTGTCTCTCACGCAAGAAAGTGTCAGTATCCAAAAGATTTTGTATAGATCTCCACGACACTTATTTGCCTATAAAATAGTTTCGCCATGCATAAGACACACTCACTTCTTTCTAAGAAAAAGGATTGCAGGTATGAACAAAGGGAAAGGAAAAATGGACGAAGCAGAAAAAAGGGCTACTCGTCTGAAGCATCACTTACAGGAAGCAAGCAAGCTCCCTAATGCCACCATCATAAGCTTGAAAGAAGAAGGAGAGATGATCAACGTAACCTACTCAATGCCTAACACCTACTCTAAAAAGGAAAAAGAGGTTCTTGACACTCTTGTCGACGAATCTAGGGCCAAAAAGAAGTATCATCTGGAACAAGCCAGACGGCTTGCCCATGAGAGAATCATGATGCTGAAGAGCTCCAACAAAGACTCTTCGTCGACACCAACCTTTCAATGGTATCCCTTTCCTGAAGTTCCTCCACCCAATGTTCAATCCTATGAGGATTTCTCAAGGGTCCACTCTCGGTTCACAGATCAGCCACCCGAACCCACTCTTTCTCTAGAAGAGTTGGATGAATACGCCAAAACAACAAATCTGGCTGATGTGACTGATGAGATGACCCGAATGGAACTTCACGTGCCCTATCGTTTCCTTTGAACCGTAGTAGGTTGAGCTTTTTATGTTTAAGTCTCACTTTCTATCCTGTATGTCATGATGGTTGTGTTATCCAAATAAATGCATTGCATACGTTTTTTTTTTATGATTTCGGATTACAGGAAGGATTACTGTTGAGTGCATTCTTTACAAGTTATATCTGGTCAAAAGAGTAAAAAAATTCATTATGAATTTATTGAATGCTAAGCACGTTGGAACTCGAGCCTTACAGAGAATCAAAATTTTAGTCTCAACTGAAATCAGCATTCTCTTGACCACATTAATGAACATTGATTGCTATGTTGATAAACTGTCTGATAAGCCCTTCAATCCTTGGCTATAAAAAGGGAGAGAATTTCTTACAACTCTCACCATCTCCTCTCTCTCAATGGCACCTAAGAAAAGTTTCACAAGAAATGACTCTCGCAAGCTCCAAGAGGCCGCTAGGCGCCTCAGGGAGGAGCAAGGTGACTTATACCCAGGCAATAGTCCTAATGTTCCTATCAATCTCGTCTCTGATTCAGACTCATCGTTTCAATACGATGATATGGCTGGATTCATCGTTGAATCAGAGAATGAAGAAAAGATCTCAAAAGATCCAAGTGAGACAATCCCAAAAGAATGGATTGACAAGGACTACATGGCCTTTCTGGCACAAGAAAATCTGGAAGAAAAGTATGGCAAAGATGATGAAGCTGAGTCCTCTACTGGTTCCAACTTTCCGCGCTATAAAAGATGGTATAGGGAAATGTTTGGAAGGATGAAGAAAGATAAGCCTGAATGATCTTCATCCAAGAAGGTTGAGAGGAAGAAAAAGTGATTTTCTGAAAATCATCATCTATGTTTCTGTATCTTCTCTTCTCGATTGTTGAATAAAAGCTTGCCTATCTATGTGCTAATAAGATGTCATGTTTTATCTGTGTAACCTTGTTGACAGCCTTAAAAGTTTGTTCTGACCGAAACTTACTCGCATTTTTTTTCAAAAATCCCAAGAAATAATTTCGTTCAAGGATTTGACCACCTTGAACAAAATAGTGAGAAAAATATTTCCTAAAGGAGATATCATGAAATGATCTCATGATTCATCTAAACGAATCTTGAAGACTGATCAGTTACCAATCTTTCGGGTGACAATGTTGATTGTTTATCATGAATCTCTCGGGCAACATTATGTGCGTCTTGTGAAATTCTGAACAACATTCGGGTTTTGAATCGTACTTAAGACGCTATTCCTTTTTGAATCTAAACCGTTCATAAAGTGTTATTGGGATCATACGGCCGAGAAAATCGCCACTATCCACTAGTCTGACAGGACAAAGACGTGCATTTAATGCACCTCTCAGCACTTGAGTGCTTTTCTCTCTCCTCATTAAATGAGGGAATGATCATTTCAGATCTGCACACGTTCTTATGACATATCCATGATGATCAGTTACCTCTTGAGGAAGAGGAACCGCTGAGTTCTTTTTCGAAATTCGAATAAGTTTTCTTAATGGGCTGATTTAAAGACACCAACCCAGAGCTTTATAAACCCTGCTCAAACCTTCATTCCGTCTGTTCTACAACTCTCAAAATACATCCCTTCCTCTCAAAGCTCTCTATAGTCAAGCTCTCTATCATCAATGGCGGCTCCTTCCGAAAAGAACCTAGAGAACCCTGAACCCTCATCCACTCCAGTAATACCAAGTTTTCCCACGGAAGATATAGAGTTTATCAAGTCCAGAATTCCATTTATAGTAGGAGGAAGTATGTGGGACGAAGAAGGGTTTCGTAAGTATGTCTTGGATAAAGCCTTTGGAGAACGAATAATCGCTCTTTTGTTAGAAACAGGTTTATATGGTTTGATAACTCACCACTATGATGAATGGTACCCTCTTGACGTTACTCAGTTTTATTTGAATGCGTATGTGGCTTCTGATTTCTCGAGCATAACTTCAAGAGTTAATAAACATCACATTGTGTTTACTGCTGAGGATATTCGATCAACTTTTGGGTTTCCCAGACGAGATGAGTCCTACAAATCCAACCTGATATATTATCATCTAGATCCGGAGGATTTCTATGAATCCATACGACACAAGGAGGCCCCTTCCAAAGATGAAATTTCCTGGCCCCTCAAAAAAAAAAAAAATGGTTCCGGTTGGATCATGAGTTTGCCAGTAGACATCTTCAACAAGATTGTGGACCACAAGACTTCTGGCACAGATGATGTCACAAGGGAAAAGCTGAAAATGCTGCACGCCTTCCTTCATGAGCATAAGGTTGATTGGTCCAAAATAGTATTCAACAACATCGCCCACACCATCACATACCATCGCAGGAGTCCTGGTGACATTACAAAGAAGATGGGCTTCGGTTTCATTATAAGCCATCTTCTTGCCACAAAAGGAGTGATTCTACGTGCTGGTGCTCCACCTGGTCAAAAGGTCTGTCACATGAAGCAAAAACCATCTGGATGTGACAAACAGAAGGCGTTGGAATTGGGCATTCCTCTTGAACCCAATCTACCCAAAGGGAAGTCCAAACGAAAGTTAAAAACCCCCAAAGCAGACGAAGAAGCTCAACCAAAACCAAAACGGCAGAAACAAGAAAAATCCTCTTCTCGGGTTAAGACTCAAAAGACGGTCATCTCCCAACCAAAGACGAAAGGTGATCCTCCTCTCGAAACTTTGATCGTGCAGAACTCCTCTGAAGATGATGATGATCAACCTCTCACTCGTCTAAGCAAACAAAGTCGAATGAGACCTGCTCAAAACCGGGAACCCTTATCAAAAGGAGCAACATCACAGGGGGAAGACATCCCGAAAGTAGCTACCTCTGAGGGGAACTGAAAACTTCTCTGCCCGAAAGAAGTCCCGTTGCTCACAAATCCATCAATCCGAATGCATCTCCTGTTCCTCATCCACAAGAACCTACCTTAGCAGAGCAACTCCTACGAGAGTTGACACAAGAACCTGCTACTGTAGAAATGAAGGAAAGATGTCAAAATCTTCCACAAGAGCCGGGCTCTCCAGAAGACATCCGAAAGCAGCCTCTGATGCCTCCAAATGATGCTCAATCTCTTCCACAAGAACCTACTATTGCAGAAGCAGGTAATTCTGACACAAGAACCTGCCACTAGTAGACGAGATGACAGCTGCTCAAACATCATTTGTCCCGAAACCATCTGCTCTTCAATCTTCTCCAGACCGGTACACCCTCGATAAATCTCTCAGAGAATCGATTGAAAGAGATTACAATCGAGTTCTACAATGGCACAAGTGGCGCACGGCACCTCTCAGAACCTTTCTCGAAACTTTTGAAGCCATGATCGACGAAGAAGAATTCGCACTTCAATGGCTTGAAACTCAGGACGTCACAAAGGCTGTGCGAATTGAGGAGATCCACCGAGTGTACTCTATAGAATAACTCATCGATCTCTCGGGAAGGACAAAGCTCCCTTGGTAATTCCTCTTCATAAACCTCCCATGGATCCAGTGACTGAAGCCGAATTGAAACAACTTCGCTACATCATGCCTGCCTATCCAAAATTAAAGCCAAAAATGGCAGAAGATCATCCTAGAGATCCCAAAGGCAGTGCTAGTGGAACGAAAGATGTTCATGGCAACGAAATCGAAGAGAGGATGAAGAAGAAAATGAAGACGATAACCAATGATGATGAAACAGAAGACGACAACAGTGGTACTGATGATACTGATGATGATGATAATGATGATAACAATAATCAACAAGGGGGAGAAAGTGCTGAAGAAGAAGAACCAGAAGATAGCCACACTATCTTGGTCGAAACGGACTATGTTAACTGTCCACAAAAGACCACCTCTCTTGAAAATACCATCTGAAGACGAAGACTCGGATGAAGCATCCAGTAAAAATCCAGTTCACTCGTCTCGTGCTATCATTCCGCATCCTGAACGAATTTGTTACAACAACAACATAATCTTCCAGCTCATGAGGACAGAAAGGAAGCCTCACCTGAACATGGCCACTCGATGCATGGTGAAAATCCGGAAGCACCACATCATGATGAACACAGGAACTCTTCTCCAACACACATGAGGACGATTCTATCGCTGAGTCCCCACGGACCATTATGAACCTCATGCGAGAAACTGTCATTCAGCTGAACTGATTCACAAGCAATATCTCGCCCTAAGGGAGAAGGACACGAGAGTATTGAATGACCTGTGTCAAAAAGTCAATCTACTCCTTGATGTACAATCTCAACCACAGCAACCGAATCTTCCTCACGACAAAACTCTTAAGCAATTGGTGAAAAGAGTTTCTGATCTTGAAGAGAGTTCAAACAAAGTCGCTAGGCAGCAACACGAGATTAAGCATTCTCATTACAGCCTCAAGGAACGTGTTGACCTAGCTTGTACCAAGATTGACACTTATCAAGACAATTCCTATCAACTTGGTGAATATGCTCTTCAAATTCTGGGATATGCTCAAGACATCCTGCTTGCAATCAGCCAAATCCCCTCTGTACCTCCTACTGCCTGCGCTGATGATGCCAAAAAGGGGGAAAAATAGGAATGATGACAGAGATAAGGATGATGACAACCAACCAAGAAGGGATAACACGAAAGAAAAGATCTTCGGAAAAGCGAGTCTCTCCTCACAAAGTCTCGGGTCACAAAAATCCCTCTCATCCACCTCCTAAGTCTCGTGGACAGTCCCATGATCAAAGACGCCATGGTCGCACTCAAGACAGCGAGGCTCGACAATCTTTCGACTCTGAAGCCAAATATTTCTTCACAGGACTGTCAAGAAGAGATCAAGTAAAACTAAGACAAAGGCTCATGAAAAATACCTCAGTCACCATGGATGGCATTGGAAACTTCGTGGACTATGTCCCATACGAAGAAGGAAGCGGTAAGAGATTTGAAGGTTGCAACAATCCCATATGGTTGAAGAAGAAAGACAACCACACAAGGCAAAACTACATGAGCACTCAGAACGAAAGGATTAAAAGACAAAACAAGGAGTTGTGGGAAAAACACGATGAAGAGATCAGGAGAAGAGATGATGAAGCTAGAGAAAGAGAAAGGATTAAGAATCTCATCGAAGATCTATCAAAATGTAACCAAAGACTCTCCTCAAAATGTCATGCACAATGCAGCTTTCAAAGTGCATAAAGAGTCAGGCAAGAGCTATCAAGAAGGAATGAATTCGTTTGAAACTGATCTCCTGGTGGAAGTCTGGAATAGTGGAAGGCAACAACATTCGAGAAGCCTACAACAATTACACGAGTCTAAACATCAAAGGAGGATATGAAGAGCTCGTCAGAAACAATCCAATCAGGACTTTCAGAGCAAGAATCAACGAGAAGATAGACTACGAGAGAACACAAAGAAGACAGAAAGAGAAGGACAATCAAGAAAGAGAGAAGGAAGCTCAGCAAAGGTTGAATCTTTTAGAAATGTAAGTTATCCTTTGTTTTGATTTCTTTTGACAGAGTTTTTGTAATGATTTTATCTGAATATCTATGAAACTCTCATTGTCACACATCTCGTGTCACTTGTCTGAGTTAAAAAGTCCTTGTCTTTATTCCTGCTGCTTCTTCGTAGAAAATACTTGTAAACTCTCGATAATGGCTGTGTTATTAATAGAAATATCCTTAAGGAGCACTTTCTCAGCCTTATAAGAAGAGTATAGGTTTTGGCATCATCAAAAAGGGGGAAATTGTTAGGAACCTTGTATTAGGATTTTGATGATACCAATGTAATGTAGAAAGTAGACCCCTAACTCTTACGTTTCTCTTGTATCGCTACTTTCGTTCTAGACGAAAGTTGCCATAACTCATATGTAATTCGTGTTAAGCTAGAACAAACACACGAAAAGAGTTATGAATAGAAGATAGGCTGATCAAGACGAAAGAAGACTCCACAGCAACGAAAGAAGGAGTTGTCATTAAGAAGACAGTTCTTTTCAAGACTATCCCCAACAAGTATTCTTCTTCTCATCAACAAGAAGAATGTTCTACCTGTCTGATTTGACAACATCCTAGGACAATAAGGACCTCAACTCATGGGACACGCTCTCCAAAGAGCATTTAATGAAGCTGTACTATCTCTGGAGCTAAAAGACAAAAGCCATCAAGTCCTCCATACCTTCAACGGCTACATAGTACAAACCC